AGCTAAGTGTAGAATGGCAAGCACGCATAGTGTCTATGTGACAGGGAAGCTGGATGGCCAAAGGTGTGACTTTGTCATAGATTCTGCATCTCATCAAACCCTTGTGAGTATCAAGGTGCTGGTTCACAAAGGAGTACCAGAAGCCACACAGAAGCTCTGTCGTGTGACAGGACATTGTGCAAGGTTGTGGGGACCAGTGTGGGTAACTGTTGAGCTCATGGGCATGAAGGACAGACACAAAGTATACTTGGCTGACATTGAAGACCAATGCATATTACGGTTGGACTACTTACTACCGAGGAAGTGTGTAGTTAACTTCGATAAGATGATGATTGGGAAAAACAAAGGCCCAATTCCAGTAAGTGTTGCTGCATCTGTTGATTTGCATGTTACAGCACTTAAGTCAACTACAATACCCCCTATGTCAAAGAAGATAACTTGGGGTAAAATAAACGAACATTCCCAAGGAAGCCCAATGTTTGTGGAAGCAGTGGAAGACCCATCCTGGCTAGCAGATTTGAAGATTGGAAGGTCACTTGTGGCAGGTCATCATGTAGTACCTATAACAGTGGCCAATTTCTCTAAATGTGAGGAGACACTTAAGGAAGAGGCATTGTTGGGTGTGTGCCAGTAGGTAAAGCCAGTCAATGTTAAAGCAAGAAATACAACCATAAAGAAAGGACATATACTCCCAGAACATTTAACTGACCTCTATAAGAAGAACACAGTCCATTTGTCATCATCACAGGCTTCTCAGGTTAGGAAACTTTTGTCAAATTATACAGACGTCTTTTCGAAAGGAGATCATGACCTCGGCTGCACAGACCTTGTGGAGCACAGAATAGACACAGGCAATCACCGTCCAATAAAGATCCCTCCGAGGAGGATAGCTCCAGCAAAGCGACAAGAGATGGAGAAGGTCATGGATGGCTTAATTAAGGAAGTGATAGTTGAAAAATCAGATAGTCCCTCGTCAGCTCCTGTCGTGTTAGTCCAGAAGAAGAATGATACCCAATGTTGCTGTGTATAACCGAAAAGACTCATACCCACTGCCAAGAATTGATGATACTCTTGATGACCTAAGTAGAGCCAGGTGGTTTTCAACTCTGGACTTAAAGTTAGGTTTCATTCAAGTGAAAATGGTTGAAGCAGATAAACGTAAGACTGCATTTAGTTATGGCCAAGGTCTCTGGCAATACCGTGTGATGCCA